CTCCGAACCTATGATTTCACTCATTCCGTTCATTCTCGTTTTTCGCCCATTCCATCCTCGACGACCAGACAATAGTGATCAACGCATCACATTGCATGTTACCTACCTACACGCGAGTATCAGAATGTCAGAAATACACTGGCCGACAAAATCATCTCGTGAAGCCGCATTGACGATGCAATAAAATTTCACAGTTAACTTCTATCTTATCAGATCGTGCTACCTTTCTGTTCTATTGTGTACGTGAATGGAATATAACATGATATCATTCACCGCACCTCACGTATTCCACATATGTGCGTCGTGCTCTGTACATAGTAAGAATTATATACGCTTCTTTATGTGGAAGTCATTTGTCTACATCCGTTGCAATGTATTACATCTGATTCGCTTCATAAATGCTTCTACATTACTATCAATATATTCGTTGCAAAATTAATAACGTAGTAAAAAATGCTATTTTTGTTTTATATTCATCCTAACTCAAAAATTAAGTTTATAGATACTAAACATTAAAAAACACTTCTCTTATTAAACAAACAATAAAAAAACAACAACATACAAAGAATCATATAAAAAAATAATTCTTTAAAGAAAATGAGAAATTATGCCTCACAAGTATAATATACAACATATCCAAGATATGCAGTGTCTAATCGTCCCGCTATTAATAAACGTATTAAATAAATAGAATTAATATTCCTATCTAAATGACCGAACGCGTGAAATAAACCCCTTACATTCAAGAATTCATAGCGTGCTGAACGCGCAATCTTCGGCGAGAGAGAATTTCGCCAGCCCGATAGCGGACCGACGGCGAGAAATAATAGAGGGTCAGCTGCGCGCAGCGGAGATGTCATCAGCAGTCGCGGCATAAAAAGCTGCCTCTCACGTACAACATCGTCGCGCAATTAACACAGCGTCGTACAGCACGATCCTAGTGTCAACGCGCAACAGAACAACCTCCAACATTTTTCATTTGTACCCAAATCCCGAGTTATATCCGAAAATTTTTATCCGTTTAACAGAAAACGACGTACGGCAAACACAACGCGACCTCGGAAGCACGTATCGATTTCGACGAAAAAATAGCGATCTGTACTCGTTTCAAATAAAAAGTTATTTTGCATATCTACTTCAAACAATCGATAATCTTTGATTTACTTTGATATTCTAATCTTAGCGTACAAATATTGGTTATTAATTTTCTTCAAAATGTATGTATGTGTAATCCAGCAGATATTTGTTGGACTATACATATTTTATTGTATTTTGTTACATAAAATTTTAAAAAGATAGAAAAAGATTTTAAAAAAGAAACAAAACTTTCCGATATTTAATATAAACATTTGTTAAAAATTTCAATTCCATCATAAAATCTGTTAAACTATTTCGTTAATAAGAAATAAATGCTGGTTTAAAGTAAATAAATAATTGATTTACGTAGACTGTCATCACATATTGTTTAAAGCAGCTTTTCTTATAATTCTCTAATCAATATGATTCTCATTGCTATTATATTACAGTTCACGATGGATTCTTTTAATCAGTACGAATACAACTAATCAACATGTATGTGGCTAATCCGCTTCCGCTCAAAACAACGAAATATCATGCCCGATCCCGCAAGAGCTGTGGACTCTCACCCTAATCGGCTTTACTTCGCCGAGATCTGCGAGTGAATGAAATACGCGTCGCACCTCGTATTGCTTTGCGCAATCGTGCGTCAGTAATCTGTTAAGTGTCTACGAATTGTTACTATCCACTGTACAACTTCACTTTCAGCATAAATAGTCACTCACAAATAAAAAGCAAAATAGAGAAATTCCAGCCCAATAATATTCATTATTTTTTAAATATAAATTCCAGTCGAATAAGACATATATAAAACTAATTGTTGAAATATTCTTGATACTTTCCATGTTCGTGAACCTAGCATATCATTTTCCAGCAGATCAAAAATAAAAGAGAGTTCTTGTCGCATGCAGTCGAGTTCTATAGTTCCTGATAGTTTTAGTAATGTTCTGGTTG